GCAGATCCCTCAGCGAAAAGAGGAGGATTGGCATCCGATGTTAGTTCAGTGCTGACCTTCCTCACCAAAAAAAAAAAAAAAAAAAAAAATACAATAGCTGTCCCTGGCTTTGGACCTCCTCCACCCAGCGCAGCCCCATCTCAGACAACAGGACCCCCACAGAAGGAGAAAAGGAGACGGGGCCCAGCCAATCTGCATTGGTGTTTTCTGGGGGGATGGAAGCATCCGTGCCTCTGGGCCCCCTTTTATCCCTAGGATTCCTCACTCTCTCTCTCCTGGAACTGGGGCCTAACCAGGCAGAGTGGGGCAAAAGAGGGCAAGAAAGCATGTCTCCAACATGTCCTGGAGTGGGAGGTCCAGAGCATGGGGGCTGAGAGGAGCAGCAGGGTCAACGGAGCCACCTCCTCTGTCCCTGGCAGGGTGCAGGTGGAATGCAGTGCCAGGGTCCCCCTCAGCAGGGGGTAGAAGACCAGCTCTGTGCGGGGGACATTCTTTTAGGCTGGCCCCTCCACCTGCAGCACAAGGGAACCCTCTCCCCACTCCGACATCTCCCACAAACACCCCCGGCCGTGATGGGAGAGCATCCCAGGCTCCCTGTGCTGCGGGGGCAGCACATGCTGGTCTTCAGGAAGGAGTGGAGAGGGATCAGCACACATCACATCACTCTTGGCATGGCCCCCATTGGCGGGCACCGTGCCACCATGTCAGCCAGGCATCTCTCTGCAGAACCTTTGTCGGCAGGGGAGGGGCTGCCAGGGGACTCAGCGCCCACCAGGAGTGGCTCAGCCCCGGGAAGCCCCCTGACCACCACCCCCACCCCCAGGCCCTCCCCTCCCTGGGCCCAGTTTGTAATTCTTTTTTATTTGCGTGACCATTTGCTCTCCTCCAGGCTCTATAAGAGCAGGACTGAGTCTTTGGGGTTTGCCAGTGTATCCTGAGCACCTGGCACTTGCGTTGAATGAATGAATGACTTGAATGAAGGTGCCACATTCCTGCCCACACCCTCGCCCCTAGCACAGAACCTGTTGGTGCTCAGTGCTCGGACTTGGCGGGATGGTAAAGTAAAGAGGAGCCCATCTTGCCAGAGCTGGGAAGTCAAGGTCAACCCCAGAACAATTCCAAGGCAGTTAATAGAAGACTTCCTGGTGGAGAAGGGCAGGGAGCAGGGGCTTCCAGTCTCACATCTGTTCTTCCCACTCATCACCTGTTTCCTGTGGGAACTCCCGGAGGGCAGAGGTCATGTCTGGGTCTCAGGGCCATCCCAGCACACCCCCACTGGAGCCACGTGCATGGCCTGCCCCACTGTTGACTGCCAGCTGTGACTCACAGCTCATGAGCCTTTCCTCTTGGCCAGAGACCGGGAGCAGATATTACTGCAATATTACTAACTACATGTCGCGGCTGTGACCACTCTTACGCTCAGAGCATGCCCCCACACCTCCCTCCCCCACCGAGGCCAGAGCAATGACCTCACTCTCAGGGGTCAGCAGCAAGCATGGACAGTCCATCCCAGAGGCTCAGGGAGGAACTGGATGGCCCTGGTCTGCCTGAGAAGCCCAGAATCTGGCCCCTCCCCCTCAGAGCTGGGTAGGCAACCTCCCTCCCTCCTCCTGAAGCACCCAGCTGGGGTAGGGGCTCAGCCCTTGCTGCCCCCGCCCCCACCAGAGCAGGCAGGAGGGAGAAAAAGGGAGAAAGGGGAAGTGGTGGAGGCGGCCCTATCCCTGCCCTTCCTCACCGCTAGGCCAGGATGCTCATGCCGGCGAAAGTGGCGTCTGAGGATGTGGCTGCAGTGGGCAGCTCCCGGCGCCAGCAGAAATCCCCAAGCCTGTCAGGAGACCCTGCTCAGACGCGTCTGCTGACCGTGCCTCTGAGTAAGTGGTGAGAAGACACCTGCAGACTGAAGCCACGCCCCCGCCTGCCCTCTCCGCCCAGACAGGCCACTCCGGGAGACCAGACCATTCCAGTTCCTCCTGTCAGGCCCTGAGAGGGCCCAGGGCATCCACCCCTGCAGGAAGGCTCGACAGGAAAGAAAGGAGCCCAGCTGGGTGCCCTTAGCAAACTTCTCCAACCTCTCTAGGCCTCACTTTCCTCAACTGTAAAAAGAGGCTGAGACTAGCCGCCCCTCAGGCTGTCGTGAGCATCACTGAGCACAGTGGCCTGGATCTGTGGTAGGTGGACAACGGCTGTGGCAGCCCGTCTCGGCTTTGTGCTGCTGCCGTTAACAGCTCAGTGTCAGGGAAGAACTGAGGCTTCAGAGAAGGGACAGAACCAGGTTTGCTTGAGGAAGGGAGTTGAGAAGTTCACCCCTGCCCTCTGCAAACTAAAGGGAACAAGAGCCTCGTGGCAGACACTGTCTCCCAACACCCATTCTTCCCTCTTCCACAGTGTCAGCCAGACCCCCATGGTAGAAGGACTCTACTGCCAGGCCTCCCTCGCAGCTCGGTATGGCTGGGTGACTGCGTTCTGGCCAACGGGATGTAAGCAGTGTGTGTGATTTCCAAGAAGTTTCCTTAAAGGGAGGGGCATGCCCTTCTTCACCGCTTTCTTCCTCCTTCCTACTGGCTGGAGCTCCAGCAGCTGTCTTGAGCAGTGAAGTGACCTTGGAAATGGAAACTATATCCAACAGATCAATAAGATAGAAGGATCCTGGGTCTCTGACATCATGTAGCTGTCAAATCAGCTCAGGGATGTTCGCCTCCAGACTTCAAGTACATGAGCAAAAAATGCACGTTTATCTTATGTAAACCAAACTTAACTCTGATCAGGCCCCTCCTCTAGTGGAATCACCTCAAGACTCATGTGTGGCTGGGTGGGGTGGGAAGAATGGGTGCCTGGGGAAGAGAAGAGTTGCCAGGCATGTGATATCCTCTCAAGGAGCACTTCCTTCTCTATGCCCTGCAAGGCCAGGAGGAGCACTGGGGAGGTCTTAGCTTCTTAGTTGAGAGGAGCTGGGGATAGATGGAAGGATGGATGGATGGACAGATGGATGGATAGATGGATGGATGGATGGATGGATTGGGTGAAAAAAAGGAAGGAAGGAAGGAAAGAAGAAAGGGAGGAAGGAAAGAGTCAGGTAAAGGACTGAGATGAGAAGAGATATCCAGAAGGAAGGAAATACCCAGAAAAAATGCATCAGCCAGTCTGGGGGGTGCGGGGAGAGCAGGATGGCCGACATAACCCACTGTCCAGATCTGACTCTCGGTTTTCCTATCTATGCTTTGGGATGGGTCTTACTGCCCCACTACTCAAAGGAAGTGTGAAGCAATTTTTTAAACAACACACATAACACAGCATCAGGGTAGCACTATGCCAATATAGCCTCCAGCCCAGAGACCACCTCTGTGTCTGAGACTCCTCACCTGTAAAATGGGGTAAGAGTAGAACCCCTCTCACCCAGTTGTCATGAGGATGCAGTGACAGAACTCCAGCAATGTGCTCTCACAGTGTGCAGCACAAGGCACGTGCTCAGGAAAGTCAGTAAGGAACAAAGAGCTGCCGTCGATTGGCCTGTGGTGTGAGCTTAGAGAAAGAGACCTGGGCTCCTCGCCCCACAACAACACCCCCAGCCCTTGGGGATCCTAAAAATCAAGTAACGTAAATGTCCCGGGAAAACCACACCTTCCACACCATCAGGATCCCAAGGGCACAGGCGGGGGTGGGAGTAGTGGGGAGACCTGGCAGGGTGGCGATGGCCAAGGTGTAACCTGCTGTCCCACTGTAGTCAGGCTAGGGGGAGGTCTTTATTTGGTCACAAGAAGCTGGCGAGAGGCCAGGCAGGGCAGCAGAGGCCACCTGGAGGGCAAATAGGCCTGATGGGGAAGGAAAAGGAATTGGCTTGTCCTGCCCAGGGAAGGGAAGCCTCAGGGTTGACTTCAACGCTATCCTCAGTGGTTAGATGAGATAATGCACAGGGATGCCCTTCCTAAAGCTCCCTAGAAAAAGCAGGGGGTTACATTATTAGCCAGACTGCTGTTAAGGATAAGAAGAGGCTTTACCAGGGGAACTGAGGGCTGTCATGTCTCTTTGGAGCAGCAATTAAGAAAAAATAATCTTATGTTAAATCACCATGATTCCAGGTGTCCTAGTGAAGAATTTTGACTGCCCACTAGATTAGCTCTGATATGGGGGGAGCTGTGGACAGAGTCAGAAATAAAAGGGTCCTGAAATCCCAAGCGTGACCTCCAACTAGTAGCCAAATCTCTGAGCCTTCGCTCCCACCTCTGGAATTGGAAAAGGATGAGGGAATGATTCTGGGTATGGGTTTGGAAATCATACAGAGGTGAGTTTGAAACTACCTTGGAGAAAGTTACCTAATTGCTCTGTGCCTTTGTTTCTTCTTCTGTTTTTATTTTTTATTTATTTTTTTACCATAAGGTTTTTTTTCCGGCTGGGAAAGATTTGCTCTGAGCTAACATCTGTTGCCAATCTTCTTCTCTTTTTTTCTCCCCAAAGCCCCAGTACATAGTTGTATATTCTAGTTGCAAGTCCTTCTAGTGCTTCTATGTGAGCCGTCACCGCAGCATGGCTACTGACAGACGAGTGGTTATGGTTCCACACCCGGGCACCGAACTCGGGCCGCCCAAGTGGAGCATGTCTAACTTTAACCAACCACTAGGCCATCAAGGCCGGCTCTCGTCTTCTGTTTTTATTTTTATTTTTATTTTTTTTAAAGATTTTATTTATTTATTTTTTCCCCCAAAGCCCCAGCAGATAGTTGTATGTCATAGCTGTACATCCCTCTAGTTGCTGTATGTGGGACGC